AATGTTTCAAATTTGAAATAAATCAAAGAAAGCTGCAATAGCGTTATGCATTTTGTTTTAGAAACAACAGCAAATAACAGAAGTAGAAAAGTTGTACTCCACCTATTCCTATTAAAACCTCATTCACTGAAAAATAATAATCCCCTTGCATTATAGATTCTGAAAGGCCTTGCATCAAAAATACTGCACAAAATCAGTGCAATGCAATACCATGGCTCCAGACGTCCCTGCTTTATAACTTTTCGATTAGCTTTTTACCTTTTTTTTTCTTGACTTGTTTACTTTTTTTCCACCTTAATTTATAGTAGGTAATATATCATTCAAGGGCTCATCTAATTGGTCAAAAGCCAAAATAAAATGTACAACCATGTAGCAGTGTCCTTTTTTAATGGCTGGATATGAAGGGCTGTGTATCCTCCCGCTGCAGGGTGTCACAGTTAGCTTGTCGCAGGTATGACACAGATTTTTTTGATTTATACTATAATTTTGAAGCGCGGTCTGCTCTGTTATTCCACGCCACAATGCAAGAGGGACAATCAGGAACTAGCTAGGATTGTGGGTGCCTGTGTGTCAGTTTGACGAGCTTGTTCGCCGTTTACAACCCCCCATCCAACGCCGGACGACACACAGTTCACCTGTGAGTGTTCCCTAAAGACTGGCCGTGGCGCTGCGTGTTTAGGCTTTGGATGCAAACCAACAGGCCGTCGCTCAGAGCTACAAACTAGCGTCCTGCACGGTGTCTGAGATAGTGCCCGAGGTGTGCCAGGCGTTATGGATGGCGCCACAGCCAAAGTTTCTGCCATTAGGTACCAAACAAGAAATACGCATAGACAGATGTAGAATTGACCAATCAGAGGCCTCCTTTCTCTTCTCCCTCTGTATTTTGCCAAAAACATAATTAATGTGCCCAAATAAGGAATAGTTGTATTAATGGGGCCCCCAAGACCTAGGCTACTGCCTAGTATTGACGAATGATAAATCCCCTGCTGCATATCTCAATAACGGGTAGAGATGAATGTCTTTCTTCTTAGAGTTCCTTAGGGGATGCTATTGATGCATGCTGTGGCTCATGCGCACTTCCAGCGTTTGTGTCCAGTTAGAATGGGTTTCAGCAGTTTACTGTGGAAAACTGTCTTACAATTTTATGAGCAGAAGAAGAAAAAAGTCCAGTGTTTTTTTTTTTTTCTTGTTTTTTTTTTGGACGATCAGGTAGGGTGGTCTGCACATGGGTGGCGTGTGCAGTTACTCAAAACGTGACCTGGGTGTTCCTACCTACATTTCCACAAAAAAAAAAATAATTTGGTAAAGCATAAAATTATTCTAGTTCTACATAATATCAAGACACACTTTAAAAAGATGATCTTTATTGACGTGGGAAAAACATGACTGTATTTTTGTGGAGCTTTTATCTTGCTATACTATCAATTAAGATGTGGAATCAGTTTGGACATTCCACCGGAAATACACCACTACCACCTCCTGCTTTAGAGAAGAACTGTTTGCTCTGAAGGTAGTGAAGAATGTCCACATGAGAACACATCAACTTTTCCAGTTGGCTTCAGGGGACTCTACTCCCCTTCAGGGAGGCAAATGAGATTTGAGAACTGTAAGAATAGCTGGTCCTTAACGGGTGTATTCTAATGGTATAGAGAGAACTGTAATATATCCTATAGAAGCTACAGGACTGATTCATTGTAGGATGACTGAATCAGACGTTGGCAACTATGCGGATCATGGGAGGAAATAGTGGAGAGGTTTTATATGGGATCTTTTAAGTTAATCCTGCCTCTTGAGCCTGTACCACTTGTCTTCCAAGAGCTGGATGTTGGTAATTAAAGTCATTAACACTAGAATGGTTCTGAGATTTTAAACGGTAAGAACTTTATTTAAAATGAATCTTATGTTGCTCATGTTAATTGACCTTTTCTGTTTTTATATTTCCTTCATTTTCACGTAGTTTTTTAAATGAAATTAAAACATAAAAAATAAATATGGTTAATTTTACCTCGATCTCCCACAGCCGTCATTTTGACGCCTCAATAAGTGGCATTGTAATTTCTTCCCGCGGTTGATTGACGTACCGTTGCCTAGCAACCAGCCTTCTACCTAGAACTCTTTCGGTTATATGGAAAAACTGCTTTCAGAAGAAATCTAAAAGTGAAACAGGCTTTAGAAATCCTTCAAAATATTGATGATGGCGATCCGGGCGGAGGGGGACAGACCCATGAGGAGGAATGTTGCTCAGATTATTACCCCATTTCCACTACCCTTGAAAAACCGATCCATGCCGAGACCGGTCCGAGCTCCGATCAGTTAACCAGGCCGAGCTCGGTTCTGACGACCGTTTACACATCACACTATCTCGGTTCCTCGCCTCCTAGTGACGATCTGCGGTATTACTGCCAGTATTGAAGGAGGAAATCAAGCAGTTGGTGGCGGTAATGCACCAAAAGTTGTTTGCCA